TATATAGATTAGTAGCAAAAAATAGGTCATCATTAAATGCAGCTCATAAATAGTAGTTTTATTATTTTTCTTATTTTTTTCTTTAAAAATCATACAATTTAGTTTATAAATACGCTCTAATATAATCATACAATTTAATTAAAATAATAATTAAATATTGAATGGTGAACAAGAATAAGTAAAATTGTTACTTTCTCTTACATCAAGAGATAAATTTATATGCTAGAATTAAGTTTTTATTAGTATAAATATTTTAGTGAGATAATATATTAATTATTTTACAAGTTAGCCCTAATATGCTCATATTTAATGTTCTGGCTAAAAAGACAGCGCTGGTTAAAAGATTTGGAAAAAAATTTAAAACCCTATTGTTTTTTAGACTTAACATTGATAAAATATGTAGAAAATAGATAATAATAACCCTATTACTTTTTAGTCTTAAACGGACAAGGCTGTGAAAATAAACGTTTAAATATGTAGAATATAGATAATAACCCTATTCCTTTTTAGATTTAAACGGACAATGTTATGAAAATAACTCATTTAATATATATGTCCCGTGCATCGCACGATGTACGTACTAGTATCATTTATTATTCTTGACGTGGTTTATAAGGCATTAACTTTATTTCTTCAATCCTTCCTTTTTCCCCTAATCTTTTTATTTTAAATCATAATACACTTTACTAAGTTAAATTGTGAATATAAATTAAAAATTAATTTTTGTGCTTATTAACAATTTTTCATTTATAATATATTAAACTAACCATCTCTTGATTAGTTTCGATTTGACATCTATATCTAATACATAATAAATAAATAATAATGTTTTTCATTAAAAATAAAACAAACTAGTTATTAATTATAATTGGAAAAAATTAATTATTTTTCAATTAAATTAACTACACAGTAGTTATATGAGATAACTTAAGAAAATATTACAATATAAGATGAGTAAGTCGTATATGACGAGTGTCGTTTTAAATAGAAATTATCATATATTTATCACAAACTATGTTTTATTACATTTTAAAATTAGGTATAAATTTCTTAACAAAAACTCTTGTAATACATGGGTATTGTACTAGTTCATTTTGTTATACATTTACAAGTTTTTCATTTTAGTTATAAATACACTATTTTTTACCGCTTATAAATTGTTGGTTTATAACAAACAAATACGTATCTCGCAGATAATAATTCTCAATTATAAATTAAAATACTAAAATAACTACTATAAGAATACTTTTAATATTAATATTAATTTATCGTAAATAGTTGTTATTTTGTTGTTCTTATTTATATAAGCAACATTAAAATTTAACATATATATACAAATATTATCAACAAGTAATATTCACACGTATATTCTTCATCTTCTCTTACTCATATAACATCTCAATTATTTATATTATATATTGTTTTAATTTTTCTTTTCAAGCTTTTAATTTATATGGAAATTAGACAAATCACTCGTTTGTTTATCATAATTTATACAATACGTGTTATAAATATTTTTAATTCTCTATGATCTAATAAGTTAGATGGAATCTGTACAAATGATTTGTTTGTTTATCAATTTTATATCGCAGATTCTTGATTCTCAAATAATTATTTACATATATATTTATTTTATTAGCATTGATTTTTTAAACCCAGATATAAACATACCAATTACTATTTTAGATTATTTTATTCTAACTATAGTCAATATCTTATTATATATACAATTTTTATTCTATCGTATGAATAACTTCCAGTCATCCATAATATCAAATAAATCATTTACATATTTGGTAAATTTACCAAGGGCTATAATTCCGTATTTTTAAATAGTATTTTAAATAATAAATTTATTTTTATTTTATATAAGAAATGTTAAATGATAAATTTACTTATATTCTACAAATAATTATTTTTTATTTATGCATACGATATGAATGTCGAATCGAAAATCATAAAATGAATGTTAATCTAATTTTACATATAAAATGGATAACAAATAATTTTATGAATTTTCTAAAATAAAAGACATTATAATGATATCCCCCCACCCCACCCCCATATATAAATTCAACACAGCTTAAGAGGCAAACTCGTACATTTTGGAATCCTATATGACAAAAAACCATGCTTCGTAGCTAGGCTTGGGTATAAATTAGTATTTTTTTATTAAATAATAATTAGGCTCGGATTGCATGAAATATCATTTTTCTTCTTTTCTTATACAATTAGTTACCATAAATTATTTTACATTTATCTTTCTTATATTACCATAAAATATTATATACAATCCCAACTTATAATTTCATTTTATAATCTGCGTCGATAGTTACACAAACAAATTAGGCCTTCACTCATCCAAATTTCTAGATCCGCCCATGGTTCCATCTGTCTCCACCCCATCCGTTAACCTCGATTGCGTCTTCCTCAGTCTTATTTCTATCTCGCGCTGCATTTGTTGACGACATGCACGAGGCGCATTTCGTGCTCGAGGAGCAGTCTCCACCATCCGTCACTTTGACGTTGCTCGAGGAGTTTTCTGATGGTTTTTCGGAGGATATGTCGGGGTCGTGCCGGACTTGAGGCGAATCTTTTTCGACAGGGGGAGAATGATGGAGATAGCATCATAAAGTTAGTATAATAATTTAGTTTCATTATTATTATTATTATTATTATTATTATTATTATTATTATTATTGTTGTTGTTGTTGTTGTTGTTGTTGTTATTTGCCTTATTTGTTTTATTCTATTTGGTAGATGCATATTTAATATTATTTGGGTATTTAACTTGTTTAGAAAGATAGGTAACTAGGCACGTCTGGACCCTATTTATTTGCATTTTCCTCCTTTGCATTGAGACGGTTGATTATTGAAACGAAAAATACGTATATAGAAGAGAAATCTCTCTTTTTTTTTTTAATCTCATTCGTACGCTTCACTACATCAATACTCCACGTGCGTCGTATTAGTATATACGTAGAACTAACTCATATATACATATTTTTCATCTTGATGCACCTATCAAGTGAGTTTCTCATTCTTGTAGTCCTAAATTAATACAACAACTAATAAGAAACATTAATACAATTCAAAATTGACCATAATATATATAAACCATCCAAAATTGTATTTATGAATTGCAATAATATATTCCAAGTAAATAATATATCTAAAATGATGGGAATTCAATGTTAGAGTCACATCTCCTCCCACTTGGGAAGACTGGACATTCAATCAAATTAGAAGCAGAAGTGTCTACACAAACATATATCTGATATAATTGACTGTTTCCTTCTTCATCAACATTGCATTCAATATATGGTGTGTACCCTATTGCTTCTCCAATTGTACTCTTTATGCTGCTCAAGCTGTAAGAACCCCCATCTGGATTTATACCTGATGATATAGTACATATAAACCAAAGTATTAATTTTAGAAAAATGTATATATGAATTTAGAATATATATTTAAAATACAAAAAATAATTCATAAGTATGATTTATATATAGTAAAATTGTAATTATAGTTATAGTCCCTTTTTATAAATACTAGTATTCGATCGTGTTGGTCAACAATTATATATATATATATAGATTATACTATATAAAAAATATATATATAAAAAAATATTTCAATTTCATCTTCAAGGTTACCTGCACTTTGAAGAATTTGGAGAAGATTGTGTTTAGACTTGAGATTGAGAGCAGCTGTAAAGTAGGCATTTTGGTCCAAAACAGATTGAGAGCATGTCCCGTGTTTGTCCCATTCATGACTCCAAAATTTGGTCCCATCGTCGCTTGGGCAGGCAAGAGTTGCCCAATCTTGTTGCATTCTGCTTATCAACTCTGATATCTGCAATTTCTCATCTTCATTATTTTGCGCGATAATCGTAATCATGGGAACGATTCGACTACAGTCCCCTTGACAGAATGGCTCCGTTGAGTATTTATTACCGTAGATCATGTACACTACATAATCTACATGTATATCTAATGGTGAAGAACACTGAATGAACCATCCCATAACATGACTTTATCATTTTCCAATCATCATAACATACAAGATCATCATCTTGTATTAGTATCAAGGATTTCGCTATTAGTATTTTCACACGGCAAAATGGCTAGATTCCGTCTTTTTACAAAAACATGGCTAAAATTTTCTTGTTATGTAAATTTATATGACCATTTAGTGGTATTAACACTAAATAAAAAAAAAAAAAAAAAAAAAAAGTACCTTAGATTGATCATAAGGATTGTTGGAATCGCAATTCGAAGGGTAAGAGCCGTCTTCATAATTCGGCCAAAGTCCATGGATGCCAAAGTCCGACGGCGGCTTCCCGGTCGTCGGGTAACAGCAGCTTTTCTTCGTGTCGCAATACGATCCAGGCCACTGCATTTGCATTCAAACGAAACTGATTAAACAGTTGATTTACGAGCTTCGGTGTTTTGCGTAATAACAAAAATCATTTTACCTGTTGAACAAAATAAAAGAAATCGAAATCCTGTGCTGAACTGATTGTTGAAAGGCATTGCAAGACTGCAAAAAGTGTAAGGACGGCCAAATTTGAACAAAATTTGTTGTCCATCTTTTGTTTTTTGGGTGATATTGTTTTCTCCTTGTAGTTTATGACAAACAATGACTTGTAAATATGTTGCCTTTGTTCTCTTTAATAGGCATGAAAAATATAGAATGTGGGACGAAATTATTGTCCCCAAATATGAACATGATCTCGACCTGTTATTTTTCCCTTTCAATGTGAAATCAAGAATTTGAATGATTTTGTGGATTATTGGGTATATGTCCTACCATAAATGTGTTCATTTGATTGGGACATTGCAAATTTTGATAAATGCAAAGTATCTTAGAAAGGAAAGGATCATTTAAAGCAAATTCCTTGTAATAACGGTTTTGAATATATTTTTGGGGAGATTCTACGGTCCCGATACGGAACCATTCCGTCAGGGTTTGTAACCGTTAGATCAACTATCCACGACGGTTACATGATGATCTAACGGTTACAAATCACGACAGGATGGTTCCGTTACGGGATTGTAGCATTTCCCATATTTTTGTTATTGCTAATTATTAAATATGTCCTAAATGCAAAGTTTCTAAATTTTTTAGGGTTGGTTATATTCCATACCCCATTAGAACATTTGTAATTTTATTATAAAACACACAAATAAGTCAAATTATAAATATGTTTTTAAAATTTGATAATTTTTTTTTATTTGTTATCAATTTTCAAAATATATAGCTAAGTGTTTATTTAGTAGATTATGAGATGAAAATATATTTTACAATAATTTTATTATAGAAAAAAATTAAAAAAAAATGATGAAAAAAAATCTAATCATCTTTGACAGTAATATACAAATAAATCACACGTTGATATTATAAATAATAATTAATATATTTTAATTTTAGTGTCTAACCATTAGTAAAACTATTTAATGTATCCAATCATAATCTATTAATTATTGGTAAATTATATTAATTTCAAAGATTATTTATTTTTTATATAATTAAATAAAGCTTAAAAGAATTATATTATCAAAGAATAATGTACCAACTTGATTTCGTCTATTGGAATGAAAAATTTACATAACCTATTACGATATTCTATAAATTATTTTAGGACAAAGAGTCAATATTTGTGGAAAAAATATGGATAGAACTTAAAATTTACTTTAATATTTATCTTTTTTTTTTCAACAACATAATAACTCCACAAATAAGCTAAAAAAAAAGATAATGTAAAAAGGGAACACCCAATCCCGGGTAAGTCGAGCAACAATGTTGCCTAACTCGCACAAACAACATATCATATAACCCCAACTACAATACTCAAGCATCAACATCACCAACACGACAACCATAACAATAGCTCCTCTCTACTACCAAAGAGAGCTAAAACAAATAAAACTAAAAAAAAAAAAAAGTATAAACAAGATAGACCACTGACACTAGATATAACATATCTCCTTTGTACCTCTGTTATTCTCTCGAGTTGTTGTTTTGGTAGTCGAGCCAATCTCGCATACTTGAGCTGATAATCCACATCTCTAGTTGTCACTGCTGTTCAAACACCCAAATGTTCATTGCCCTCCATAACCACCACAAAATGTAAGTGGGTAATTAGATCATGTCTTTGAATGTCTCTTTATAGTTCATAGTGTTTATCCACCACCGCCATTCTTTAAAACTCAAATGCTCATGTTGTACTCTGTTCCACTTCAGTGGTGCTAACTACCAAGCAAGTCTAGCTCTCCTACATATGAATATTATCAACATAAATCAATCAATGAAATTATCTTGACCAAAATATTAACAACATAAATCACAAAAAATATTTTATAGTTGAAGATAATGATATTACAACAATTATTAATAAAAGTAATCGATAAAAGAATCTTTTTTATCATATCCAATTTGATCAGATTTTGAAACGTGTATATGCAATTCCACATAATTTATGCAACAAATGTTTCTAAAATTTTCTACTATTTTTAGAAAATTTCAATCTCTTTACACACACACTACCAATCATCTTTTTCACATTATTTTATTCGATATCTATATTTCATATATAAAACTAGTACAACACACGTGTATTACACGAGTGCTTGTAAAAAAATTATTCTTCAATTTTAAAATTAATGAGAAAACTATATTAAATTTAGTTTACTTTTTTCCACAGAAAAATATATTACTATATATTTTAGAATGATATGTGTTACTTATGACTTACATGTGTTATATTATATTAGTTGCTATAACTTATTTCATATAACTATTTGAAATATAAATATATTAGTTGATAAATAATTTTATTTTTCTAATTAATATTAAAAATAATTTTATTATTGTTATAAAGATAAATATAAATTATTTTTTTTATACATACAATATGAATGTTAAATCGAAGCTCATCAAAAGAAGATTAATTTGATATATTACATATGTAAAACTGATAAAAAATACAAAAGTTATTAACTTTTAAATTATACTATATACAATTCAATAGATATAATATGGAATGATATTAAAATACAATTAATACATGTAACATGACCATAAATAATCAACATATTTATGGTAATCCGAACCTAATTATTTTTTGTTGGGAATTAAATTAAAATTTACCCAAGCCTAATAACAAAGCATGTAATTTTGCCACATAGGATTCTGAAGCACCAGAAGCAGCCACGTAGGCTCAGCGCGTTCTGTATTAATATATAGGGGGAGGGGGATAATTATATCTTAGTTTTATAAATAAAACAAATTATTTATTAGTTCTAGTAGTTCTAATAATTCTATTTAGAAATATATCTATTGAACATACATATATATTCACAAAGTTGTTGAAGTACTAATAATTCTATTTAGAAATATATCTATTGAACATACATATATATACACCAAGTTGAAGAAATACAGGGAAAATTTCATTTTTGGTCCATTATATTGGCCATTTTTCAGAAATGGTCAATTAATTTGACAGACATTAAACTTGATACAATAAGTTGTAAAATTCATCATTTTTGGTCCATTAATCACTCAGGCTGTATAACGAGCCTACGTGGCGGACATCAAACTTGTCCACGTATTCGCCCGATAAAAGGCCACGTAGGCTTATGGACCAAAAATGATGAATTTTACAACTTATTGTATCAAGTTTGATGTCCGCCAAATTAGTGGATCATTTCTGGAAAATGACCAATATAATGGACTAAAAATGAAATTTTACCAAGAAATACATATATAATAACTTTAACTTTTTAGTTATTGATATAGAAAAAATTTAAAAAACATGTGAAAATCATATTTTTGTTTTTCATAAATCTTTATTTTCTTATTGGCTGATCTTAAATGCCATAAGAACGACATATTTTGTTTGATCGGTTCATATGCCGTATTTTTATTTATTTGCATGTATACTTATCTCTTTTTTTTTTTAAAACCGATCTTAAATGCCATAAAAAACACATATATTTAGTTTGATCTTATCACATGCCATGTACAAATCTTTTGAAATAATGTTATTTTTTAGTTTATTTTTTTTTTTTGATAAAGTTATTTTATAGTATTGATGGTTACTTGACTTCAAATTAAAAAAAANAAAAAAAAAAAAAAAAAAAGTGCAATGTTTAACTATCAAAAGATTTGATAGGAACTCTATGGGTCAATTTTTTAACATTCTTTTCATATGTATTGAATATCATTAAAATTCGTAATCAAATCAGCTATTTTTCATAAATATTCAATTCCGACACAATAATTTTTTTTAATTTTACCTTATATGTATATTTAGTTTCAACAAATCCAATTATATAAAGAAGATATTAGTAAGCCTTTTTAATTTTTGGCAATAATTCTAATGATAAAATTCGATTATACCAAATGGCCTGATTTGAAAGAATATATACGTTATTATTATTTTATTTTTTTCTAATCAAAAGTTCAAAATGATATATCTCTTTGATACAAAATCTCATTATCAATAAACAAAATACTTGATTTTTCAAACATACCATTTTTAACGGAAAATTGATCCTACAACTAAATAATTTTATTATATTTTCATGCCTTAAATATTTTATAAATATATAACCAAAAATCCTACGATTTTGGAAACATCAATCTACAGATCTAGCAATGATTTTGATGTTCAAGTTTGGTTATACCAAATGGCCGGATTTGAAACAATGTATATATTTTTTAGTCTACTTCAAAGTTTTTTTTTTTTTTTTTTTT